TGTGCTCAATGCTATGAGTTTTTCTGGATAGACTTATAATGGAGCTATCTTCTTCAGGGTCTTGATCTACCTGAAATCATAGTGGAATCAGAGAAGCGTGGGATGACATTTGACAAATTGCTAACAGTTCCTGAGCAAGATAAGTGGGTCTATACTGATGGCCAGTCTGCTTCTTGTGTGGCTTACGTCCTTATGATGTACAAGGAGGCTGGACTCTTTGACCCAATTGCCAGCTCTATAGAAGTTACTGAATTCACCGTAAGTACTCTTGATTTCTTGTGTGGTTTATGCTTAAATTCCGGCTTCCATGAGATCTAGGGTAATTCAGACATCACCGATGGAACTATATCATATGCTCAGTAATTGACTCATAGTGGAAGGCTAGTCTACCAGTTGGCATATTGCCATTCTGCACTACCAAATGATTTGAATTATGAATATTTCCTGATCATTATTAATTGCCCGCATCCAACTTCTGGTAAAAAAATATGTTCTCCTTAAATTCCATGCAGATAAAAGATGCTTACAGCCTCAACTTTTTTGAGAACAATATGACACGGCTTCCCGTGTGGTGCAACAAAGATGACAGTGTCAAGCTCCCCTTCTGCCAAATAAAGGGCAGGTATCGAATGGAGTTGCCTGGATACAACACCATGCAGCCGTACCCTCACATGAATGAAAGGTGTCCTTCTCTGCCTCCGAATTATAACAGACCGCGAAATTGCTGATCTGTTACACATTATTACGCCTTGCATTTTGATATATGCTGGCTTTTAGTCTGTACTTTAGCTGTACATATCACTGTAGTCTGTAGGTATGCAATTGTTTTCTTTGTTGTTACTACGAAGCAACTTCCGCAAATAAGGAAGATTATGATTGCGTGAATGTACAGTAAATCTCTACCCTTGATGCTACAGGTGTTACACTGCTGTAGGGTTCACATAACTTTCGTCATATAGTAATTGACAAATACATGTAGAAAATGTATGTACTTTGTTGTATTGAAAATTTGAAATCTGATCGTAAACAAAAGACTGAATGACTCATGCTAGCTAATCAACGATTTGAGGCACGATCCATAATCCCCTGGCTGCATGAACACAGCAGTTACGCTTTATGGCCATCGTTTGCATGGGTGAGATTGGACCGGAAACTGCCTGTATTCACTTTATTATATGGAGAATTTTATGGCCATCGTTTGCAGCGGTGAGATTGGACCGGAAACTGCCTGTATTCACTTTTTTATATGGAGAAGTGGGCATGTTCACTTTATTATCAATTTCAAACCTACCAAATTTTGGTGTTATCAAATTCACCAAATTTTGATAGGGTAACAAACAAAACATTGTCTTACCAATGTTATTCTACCAAAATTTGGTAGTTTCGGAATTTTCTTCTCACTAACAAATATGCTCGTGCGTTGCAACGGGATCTAGTAAGATGGATTAAACGTTCCATTCTACTCTATTATAGTATGTTTTCAGTTTTTTTAAGTGTGTTTCAACTTTTTTCCATGGTTGTTTTCTCCGTTTTTGTGTATGTTCACCGGCTTTTCGGAAACTTTTTTGAAATTTGTTAATGGGGTGTAACAACTCTTTGTTGGTTACTTTAATTATGCAAGAATGAAGTTATTTTTTACAAAAAGAAATGGATCTTCTCCTTTTTTTTAAGTTATTTCCTTAGTTACGCAATGGCTTCGTTTGTTGGGCTGTCCTCTATAAGCTGAAACTTTGAGACACTATTGTCATATTCCGATGGTCTCTTAATAGTTGGACAGTTGGACCATATGGCACAGGAATACTTTAGCCATGAGTATGAGTGACAATCTAGTGTGTGAATTGATAGGTGTTAAACATTATATTTCCGCATCTCTTTTTGGTTGTTGTGGGTGTCATTTTTTGGCTGTGGGTGTCTTGATGTAGAGGTTGGAAGTGGGCTCAGTATAATTGTATTATTTTAATGTAATTGACCTAGTTTTAATAAAGTTTCTATTGTCTAAAAATACACAAGATGTACATGTAACTAATTAATGTAACTAATTAAGGCTCTCTCTTAAAAAAGAAAAACTAATTAAGACTGTTTAGATGCAGGGGTAAAAATTTTTGCCGTCACATTGGATATACGGGCACACATTTGAAGTACTCCCTCCGTCTTAAAATATAGCAACCTTTGAATAGATGGGGCACATCCTAGTACTATGAATCTAGACAGACGTCTGTTCCATCCGCTCAAAGGTTGCTATATTTTGGGACGGAGGGAGTATTAAACGTAGTCTAATAACAAAACAAATTACAAATTCCGCCTGTAAACTGCAAGACGAATTTATTAAGCCTAATTAATCCGTATTTAGCAAATGTTTACTGTAGCACTACATTGTCAAATCATGAAGCAATTAGGCTAAAATGTTTGTCTCGTAATTTATACGCAATCTATCTAATTAGTTTTTTTTGTCTATATTTAATATTTCATATATGTTTCCAACATTCGATGTGACACAGTGAAACAGCTTGATAGGATCTAAACAGACCCTAAGCCTGTCACACGCTGATAATTTCGTGGCCAGCTGTCTAGCATAGTACCGAGTACGTCGGAATGACCATGTGCAGCACGGGGCTCCTGCTAGAGGGCGTTGCATGGCCCCCTCTCTCTCTCCCCCTCGCCTAATGAACGGCCGGAGCGGAGGCATCGTGTGAACCGTGTGTCCATATCTTTGCATTTATCCCTCTCCCCAACCAGCGACGGGCCTGTTGGAAGGTAGTAGTATGCCCGCCTCTTGACGTACTACGCGCGGTCCGATGCTTTCAGACAGCGTGAAACACGACGAGACTCGTGGACCCGTGCTAGTCTCGTGCCAAATTTTGTACCGTGATTTTCATAGTAGCAACAGTGCAAATTTTGTTGTATGGGAATGCTAAGGGACGGGATACCGTCCCTCAACGGGATAGCTCCTCTCCACAACACAATTCGTGTCCCCCGCCGCTGCCGCGCCCGTCCCCCGTCGCCTCCGCCGCCGCGCCCATCGACGCCGCTGCCGCCGCCACGCCCATCCCCCACCGCCGCCATCACTGTCCCCCGTCGACGCCGCCGCCACCGCCGCGCCCGTCCCCCGTCGCCGCCGCCGCCGCCCATCCCCCACTGCCGCTGTCGCTGTCCCCCGCCGCCGCGGCGTCTGTCCCCCGTCGACGCCGCCGCCACCGCCGCGCCCGTCCCCCGCTACCGCCGCCGTTGCCACGCCCGTCCTCTACCGCCGTCGTCGCCGTCCTCGTCTACAAGGGACGGCTGCAGGGGGCGACCGCACGTGTCGGGGTGCTCCTCCCACAACGAGATACCCAGCTATATCTAGTAGGAATCACCTGATACCTAGTAAGTATCATCCGATACCTTGCAAGTATCACGTGATACATGGTAGAAATCGTCTGATACATCGCGAGTATGACGTGATACGTGGTAGAAATCGTCTGATACATGACAGGTATCGCATGATACCTCGTGAGTATCACGCGATATGTGGTTGAAATCATCTAATACCTGACAGGTTTCACATGATACCTCGCGAGTATCACACGATACGTGGTAGAAAATCGCATGATACCTCATAAGTATCACATGATACTTTGCAGGTATCACCTGAAACGTGTGTAGAATCGTCTGATACCTGATAGGTATCACACCTGATACCTACTCGGGATCATCCTGTTGCGTAGAATCGTCTGATACCTGATAGGTATCACACCTGATACCTACTCGGGATCATCCCGTTCGAAAACGGGATTCTGTTATATAGCAGCCCCTTTATTGTATTAGTCTGTGTATATTTTTTTCATATTAGTTGCAAATGTCATGGTAGCAACTTTATTGTATTAGTCTGTGCAAAGTTTTTTCATATTATTTGCAAAATTACAGCACAGCGTCAATTTTGTGTGCTGATTTTCATAGTAGCACCGGAAGAGGGTATAAATTTATGTCATCGGTTTCACAATAAATTTGATTCACTTATTTTTGTGTGAATTGTGTGATAAATCATTTCTTCATAATTGTTACCCTAGTAATATTTCCGGCAACGAAAATAATCATTTTCTTCTCAATATATTGGTAGAACTCATCGAATCTTATCAAAAAATAATTTCTTAATAACAAATACCTCAGACTAATGAAATGGTTTAAGAATTTACATCGCACAATTATGAAATTGAAGCCATATAAAATCGATGAAATTAAATCAATGTTTAATTTCATTACTTATTTTTTTTCATTGCATTATAACCCGGGTGAGTTCATCCGCATGTGCGTGTAGCATTTGCTGCTGTGCATTTACTTGTGCTGCACCGGCTGGCAGCCTCGCGCAACCCGCGCCGTGGCCTGCGTCCGACGGATTTTGTTGGCAGCCAAACGGCGTGGTCGACGCCATCCCAGGCCGTCTGCATCAACGGTAAGTGCAACAGTGCATGTACAATACCTAGGTTCCCATCAAGAGTAAGTGCAACGGTGCAAAAGTACAGTGCCTAGGTTCCCATCAAGAGTAACTGTAACAGTGCATGTACAGTGCCTACGTTCCCCACTTCTAGAATGAGCAGCGAACTGGGCATGTTTAGTTGGTGAAATAAAAAATTTTAGGTGTCACATCGGATGTTTGATCGGATGTCGGAAAGGGTTTTCGGACATGAATGAAAAAACTAATTTCTTAACTTGCATGGAAACCGCGAGACGAATCTTTTGTGCCTAATTAATCCGTCATTAACACATGTTGGTTACTGTAGCACTTATGGCTAATCATGGTCTAATTATGCTCAAAAGATTCGTCTCGCGATTTACATGTAAATTGTGCAATTAGTTTTTCTTTTTATCTATATTTAATGCTCCATATATTTGTCCAAAGAAGATTCGATGTGATGTTTTTAGAAAAAGTTTTTAGGAACTAAACAGGCCTAAGCCAAGTTGGTGGTTTCGTTTGTGGCCATGTATATATGAGCAATCCAAGTTCCAGGACCAGGACGCTCGATCCCTCTCGTCCACAGTTTCACGTCATTGGATACATGTTTCTATATATACACACTCCTAATCGATAATAAAGTACTACATGCAGCTGTTGCTTGAGCAAACAGTTTTCGAGCTCATGTGCTAGTCAGCTCGTGCAATAACCATGGCCAACGAGCGATGTCGTGTTGCGCTCTTCGTCCTCATCGTTTGCGCCTTCGCCTACGCCGCTGTCTACACCTCCTCGCCTGCAGTCTCCGTGAACCCATGCGCCCAAACTCTGACAAGGGCCCTCCTCGCCGTCACCGGGCTAGACCCGTACGTCGTCTCCTGCGCCGCCGACGACGGCGTCTCGACCCCCCTGCTCTCCGACGGCGGTCACGACAAGATCAACGCCGGCCGCGTGGGCGGGCCTATTGTCACTGACCTCCTGCAGTGCCGAAAACCGGAGGGTCCAGATTTCCCGGAGGACCTCCAATGCTGCCCGCCGATGCCCACGTCCGAACCAATCGATTTCACGCTCCCCGACCCGAGCGAGCCGCTCCGGACGCGGCGGCCGGCGCACGTAGCCGGCGCGGAGTACATGGCCAAGTACGAGCGCGCGATCGCGCTGATGAAGGCGCTGCCGCGGAGCGACCCGCGCAGCTTCTACCAGCAGGCGCACATCCACTGCGCCTACTGCACCGGCGCGTACCGGCAGGTCGGCCACCCGGAGCTGGCCGTCCAGGTGCACTTCTCCTGGCTCTTCTTCCCGTTCCACCGCGCCTACCTCTACTTCTTCGAGCGCATCGCCGGGAAGCTGCTCGGTGACCCCGGGTTCGCGGTGCCGTTCTGGAGCTGGGACGTGCCGGAGGGGATGCGGATGCCGCTGCAGTTTGCCAACGCGTCGTCGCCGCTGTACGACCAAATGAGGAACCCGTGGCACGCGCCGCCCAAGCTCGTGGACCTGGATTACGCCATGGACGTCGTGGAGAACAACTACACCGACGATGAGCAGATAAAGCACAACCTCTGGATCATGTACAAGCAGGTGCACTATATATACGGCAGTCCGTTCCTCTTGTTGCATGCCTTTGTTTCTTTATCAATTGATAGATTTGTTACGTAAGTTATTTTGCTAACACAACTACAGAACACCTCATAGATATCGACTCAGTTATAGGCGTCGATTTATTTAAAACGACACCTATTACCGCTCTTCACCTTTATAGAACAAAAAATCTAGATAAAACCGACACTTATAATATAGGTATTTTTTTAAAAAAAATAGCACCTATATATTGGTACCTGATTTTTAAAAAAATTACACCCATAATAATGGTACGAGTTTTTTAAAAAAAACCAGCACATATAATAAACTATAGATGCTTTTTTTTAAAAAAAAATGCATCCATTATAAGCCGAGCCGAGCCTGTGCTTATCCACTCACCTCACAAAAAAAAAACATGTCGCCTATCCACTGGCCGAACCTTATCAGTTTTCGCTCTCCCATCGCCGGCATGGCGCGCGCGGCAGCCGTTTCCTTGGCACGACGCACAGCATGACATTGCGATGGCGGGGCACGGCACGGCGCAACGATGGCTGGGGCACGACACAATGATGGCAGCAACGACGCAACGACAGCAGTGCGCCCCTCTCTCCCTCTGCCCCTCGGCCTCTTCGTTTTTGTCTTCGGATCCGATAGGTGGGAGACGGTGGCGGCGGGACTGGGCTTTGACGGAGACGATGCCGGATGAAGATGGCGGATACAACAGGATGATGATAGTAGTTGAAGATAGCGGATAGAGCAGGATGACAACGACGGCAACATGGTTGGTGAGTTCAGCTCGATTTGAGCTGGCTGACTTTTTTTTTTTTTGGGCTCATGCGAACCTAAAGTTGTCGGTTCTATTTTCCTCATAGGTGTCGGTAGCTTCTATTGGTGCTGGATGAAAATCCAACACATATGGACCCTTACAAACCAGAACCTACGACATCTTTTGTAGTAGTGTAAATATTTTGATTGTAGTTGTGTGTATCCACTTATGTATATACAAGCCGGATTTCTATCAATTATCTAAAAACACTTTAAATAAATTTCACAAAACAAAGCTATAGATTTAATGTGTTGTATAAAAAATCATATTTAACGCTAAATTTATCAGAAAACTATATATTTAAAGTCAAATATCACACAACTACATACAGTATTTAATATCGAGATATCACAGAACAACGGATTTCAGAGCTACAATACCTAAGACTGCAATCATGTGGAAGCTATAAACGTTGCAGTTTTGTAATTAAATTGGAACTTAATCTATAGTTTTGTGACCCTTTCATCTTAAATCTGTAATTTTATGATAAATTTTACACTGAATCTATAGTTTTATGATATAATGCTTTAAATCGGTAGTTTTTTAAGATAGTTTGGTCAAAGTATATGTAGTTTTATGAAATTTACTTGTAAACTTTTGATTTATGACCATCAAACCACGTTGTGTTTGGTGAGTGGAGGAGAGAAAAATTGATAAACGGAATTGCTATATTTTTCTTGCAAGCCCCCCTCAAAAAAAAAAACTTACTATTTGTGTACCGTCAGATCGAGTTGAGATTCGTGCAGGGAGGAGGGATGCCAATTTGTGAACTGTCAGATCGGGTTGACCGGTTGAGATTCGTGCAGTGAGGAGGGACATCAAAATTGTGTTGAGATTCGTGATAGGAGGAAAGAAAAAAACATCATGGCGCAAACTTTTGATTTATGGACCATCAAACCACGTTGTGTTTAGTGAGGGGAGCATTAATTGGTAGCCAGCCACACCAAGCGTGTTTTGTGATTAGTTATAGGCGGATCATATATATAAGTTAAATCATACTGTAATTACACTCTAATTATATTATAGTTATATTTAAAAGTTTTAAAAAAACTACTCTCCTAGAATGATGTATTATAAAAATATAAACAAATAGGAGTATTAAATTCTTAACTTACCAATATATGCAAAGTTATGAAAAATCGAGATATAATTATGTTTTAAGTTGTCGCTAGGATATAGGCATGATCTTTGAGGCAGCACATATTTGATCATTATTTTTTCTAATAATAAATTACTAAAAATAATAAAATATATAATATGGTCGTATTTTTTAACGACTACAAATATCAGTATCATATATTAGATCTTAATATTTTGCATATATTTGTGAGTAACCATTTGGTGTCAAAATGATTAACTTCTGTAATTCTTTTTCAGATGATTAGCAGTGCGCCGTTGGCCTCCTTATTCCACGGCCAACCTTTTCGTGCAGGTGAGGCTAGCAAGCCAGGTGCGGGAACCGTGGAGCTACAACCACATAACTTGATGCATGTTTGGGTTGGCGACTTATTGTCTTATCCCAACGCCGAGGATATGGGAGCTTACTACGCCGCTGGTCGTGACCCGATCTTCTACACGCATCATGCTAACATCGATCGGCTGTGGGATGTATGGCGCAGCAATGGCAAAGGCGAAGACTTTACGGACCCTGATTGGCTCGACTCCTCGTTTCTCTTCTACGATGAGGAGGCCCGTCTTGTGCGCATCACCGTCCGTGACGTGCTCGACATGGACAAGCTCCGATACACGTATCGTGGCGTTGGTTTACCATGGTTGGATGCACGGCCACCCACTACTCCCAACGTGAAGTACAGAGTGAAAAACAGGGTCGAGAAGCCCGTCATGTTTCCAGTATCCCTTGGCAATGTGGTGACCGCAGAGGTGAGACGACCGCTAATGTTGTGGAGACAGCCAAAAGGGGCAACACAAGAGGAGGTGCTGGTGGTCGAGCACATCCAGACAGATGGCGTGTGCAAGTTTGATGTGTTTGTCAATGCTAGGGAGCACAAGAAAATCGAGCCATGTGGACGGGAGATGGTCGGGAGCTTTGTGTGTTTAAGGCATCACAACACGCAAAACAATGTGACACGGAGAGGGGTACAAACCACCATGAGGGTGGCACTGAATGATATCTTAAAGGACCTAGGTGCCGAGCAAGATGAGAGTGTGACTGTGACTTTGGTGCCAAGACATGGAAAGGTTAGGATCGGAGGCGTGAGAATAGAATACAATGGAATGTGAAAATATATACTTCCTCCATACTCGTAAAAAGAAATCGTTTAGGACAGCGACATGATCTCCAAAATACAATTTTAACTTTTTATTTTTATAAAAATATTTATTGAAAAGTGATATATGTATATTTTTATGAAAATATTTTTCAAGACAAATCTATACATATAATTTTTACATTTTCAAACTCAGCAACTTGAGAGTTATTCATGATTTATATTCCCAATGTTTACTTTAAACATTGTCCTAAACGATTTTCTTTATAAGTATGGAGTAGTATATACAAGTAGAAATTTTATTGTGGATATATTGATACTGAGTAGTTACTCTCTTTGTTTCAAAATATTTGTCATGCTCAAGCACTAATTACCAAGAAGGCAAGGAGGCACGGAGCTATAGTAAAATTTGATAAAATAGAACCAAATTTAACGCCGTAAGATAAAGGACAGTTGCATTTATTTAATACGAATAATCATGCACCCATAAAAAAATAACATTGGGCTGAATTGCTGCATATTCTAATATTAATTTGGAGTTCTTTTCCACAACATTCATCACTCAAGATTGCCTTTCGAACTAGCTAAGACAAAAGTGTGCCCTTTAATATTATTTTCGGTTTCTCCATTGATGTATCTTGGCTTGCTTACAAGCCGCATCTGTAAAAAAAAATGCCATATAAATAGGCATACACAAACATATAAATTTAAATTCGATCTACATATAAAAAAACAAAACAGAAAATCAAATTAAAAAATAACAATGACATTCACGTAGATTTATTACTCTTAGTTTCTTCATATCTAGATCAAATTTGACCTTCGATAATTGTAGAGGGATAAAACATAATAATCCATATTATCTAATTTCTTTAAAAAAATCAAAATCATTTGAACTACAGGAAACAAATGAATCTCTATAACCTAAAGGGCTTAAAATCCACCACAAATTATATGGAAATTATGCGCCATGCCCATGATAGAGAAATAAAGTTACAGCAAATTATGTGGCTCTCTTCACAACGCATAGATGATTGGAAGATAATTCTTCCTTTCCTTTCTTTTTGAAATGAAATGCCTCTATTTCACGTGACTCACGCTAATTATGGGGGTGTTTAGATTAGGGGTGTAAAGTTTTGGCGTGTCACATCGGGTATTATATATAGTGTCGTACAGGGTGTTCGGGCACTAATAAAAAAACTAATTACAAAATCCGTTAGTAAACCGCGAAAGAAATTTATTAAGCCTAATTAATCCATCATTAGCAAATGTTTTATGTAACACCACATTGTCAAATCATGGAACAATTAGACTTAAAAGATTCATCTCGTAATTTACAAGCAATTTATGTAATTATTATTTTTTCTATATTTAATACTTCATGCATATGTCCAAACATTCAATGTGATAGGGTGAAAAGTTTTTGTTTGTGAACTAAACAAAGCCTATATTGTGTTGAAGATGAAATGTTTCTATTTCATGTGACTGACATTGATTATATTGTGTTTTAAGTTGAAACCGATGTTCATGCGAACGTTTCTTTAAATTGTAACTATGTGTATCGGTGTTAGTCCTTTGGGCCACATCGACAAACTGGCATGAAACAAGAAATGCAAAGATGAAGAGAGAATTCGATTGGTGGCACGGCTGTTATACCGGTACCAGAAAATAGCACAAAAAATTGAGGCCCCCATTTGAAAGCACAACTCTATTAAAATGTTCTGATTTATAGCAGTTCCGCCTTGTTTTACCGCAACTATGAAACCAGAGACAAAATTGCCCTCACTATCCCGCATTCCCGCATTGGAATGGTTAGGTTTTGGATCAATCCTCCTGTTCGAATGAATCGATCTCCCCGACCCCGTCATGTCGCGCGGGCTCACGCCCTTCTTGCCGAACACCGCCACGATGTCACTGCTCGCCGTCGTCGAGTTGCGCCGGCCCGGCGACACCTCCCAGCTGCTCCCACGCAACAGAAAAGAAGCACATTAGTTACGTGCGTGTGCAGAACACCATGGCCATGGAGATGCGCGTACACTTGGCGCCTTGGCCATGAAGGTTTATGCATGTATGTACGTACCAGGTTGATGCCGTCGTGAGCAGCGAGGGCGAGGATGTCAGGAAGAACGTTGGGGCAAGATGAGCCTGGTCGTCGCCGCCGTGGAAGACTACGAGGGCCGGGCCGCCGTGAGAGGGCCGCAACGCTGGTGACTACAACGCCCGTAGCTGGAGCTCCTCGTCATCTTCGTCGGTTCATCCGCCTCCTCGTCATTGCCGCAGTGCTGGAAGAGGTCGATCGAACGGGTTGGGGCGAGCGAGGTGTGGCATTTTCAGCTGCTGCACCATGAGTAGGGGTGGAAACGAGTCAAGCCGAGCCAAGCTCGGCTCGGCTCGGCTCGTGAAAGCTTGGTCAAGAACAGGCTCGGCTCGGCTCGGCTTGATAAAGAGAACGAGCAAAAAATGCAGCTCGGCTTGGCTCGTTTCAAAGCTCGAGCCAGCTCGAGCCAGCTTGTGATGCACAACAGCAAGTAAATACTTCAACAATAGTACAATCAATTTTCAGCAAGTTAACAGCAAGTGTGCGTTACAGATTCTATTTACTACACAAAACATATGGCTCGAATTAAGTATAGTATATTAGTGTAGGTATAACAATTTTGATCTATTTGCCTCAACCTTTCTGTGATTGAATCATTGATAATAGCACACACTGCACACATACACATCAATTCATCACGCATATACACAGCTACTAAGAAATGAATCACAAAAATCAGAAAATACATCACGAACCTCTTCATCCTAGGCTCGTCGCTGTGTGAACTGTCGTCGATCGGTTGGCGTCTCGGCGAGGTGATGGACGGCGTCGACCGTCGAGTCAGGGACGCGGGTAGCACAGGAGAGGGAGGCCGAAGGCGGTGCAGGGTAGAGAGGCGGCGCCGCGACGGCACTGGGGTCGAGCGTCGCTGGGCGGCTGGGGAGGGAGGCCGGAGCCAGCGCAGCCGCGCAGGGCGCAGGGGAGGGAGGCGGCTAGCTGGCGGAACTGAGGCTGCCGCGTCGAGCGGCGCACCGGCGCTTCTGCTGGGGACTGGGAGGGAGGCGGCGGGCCAGCGGCCGGCAACTCCTTGCGCCGCCCAGAGGGAGGGACTCGGTCTCGGCGTGACGGACTGGCGGCGGCGACGAACTAGGAAGTGGGAAGGGGAATAGTTTCTGTAGCAAGGGAAGGTTAGGGTTTTCATTGGGCCTGGGATGGGGAATTGTTAATGGGCCAAGGTCATTTTTTCACCAGCTTGACAAGCCTACCGAGCGGCTTGCGAGCTAGCTCGGGCTCGGCTCGATTTACAAACGAGCTCTGGAGGCGGCTCGGGCTCGGCTCGTTTTCTTTTCGAGCCAAGCCGAGCTTTGCGAGCTCGAGCCAAGCCCGAGCCGAGCTCACGAGCCCGAGCTTTTTGTCCACCCCTAACCATGAGGGCGTCGAACAGTCTGGCGACAGCGGCGCTGCCAAATTGGCTTGCGGTCGTGGCAAGCCAACTTCCTTCCTGCGTTTTGGAGCTGCGGGACCATCGCAGTCCCGCGGAACGGGTATATTTTTGCAAATCCATCTCATACAGGTATATAAATGTAAATTATTGAAAAATAAGTATAATCGCAATTTTTTCCCAGAATTAGAGAAGGTGAGAGCAGAAAAGCCAACAACCTAGGCTTGACTGTGCTGAAACGAGTAGAGGGGTTCGGTGATTCGAGTAAAAGTAAGCAATGAAGCAGAGCAAAACAGTAACTCAGAAATGGAGGAAACCTGATGAGGAGACACTTAAGATTAAGAGTAATGTGGATGGAACATATATGCCACAAACTGGAAATGGTGGATGGGGTTATGTCATAGGGATGATTCAGGGTCGGTGATTGTAGCGGAAGCCGGGCAAACCCCATATCTGATGGACGCTTTTCACGCCGAAACTATAGCAGTCATGGCTGGAATTGATGCGGCAGCGAAGAAAGGTATAGTGCAAGTAAAGTTGGGAACTGATTCTATGATGTTAATGTACGCTATGAGGGGGCAAAATACAGTTTGGCTGCAACAGGAGGTCTTCTCCACGAAATAAATTGTTCACTGAGGACTTTTCTAGTGCTTTCAAATGTTAATCACTGTCCTGGTAGCTGTAACAAAGTAGCCTATGATCTGGCTGCTTATGGATGTAATTGTCCTCACCTTACCAGTCTCGTTAGGGATGGTATCCCTCCAGGTCTGGCGATTCTGTCGCACCAGTGGTATAATGGAATTCGATATTCCTCTAAAAAAAGGTATATAAAAATGACAAAAGTATGAATGTATGGTTATTATATCGATCTCCTGAACCACACTAATTTGTAACAGCATACCAGATAATAATGTCCAGAACATATTCGGCAGATGACTTAAGACAGTACTTTCAAACGCCTCAACTATCCCAGACGGAAAATATTGTCGCCATAGCTGGAACTAGCATATGTAACAAATCTCTGCTCAAGTCAATCGATCAAATGTTGGTGAAGTTCCTGATTTCTGAAAAAGACATGTTCAACGATTGAATTGAATCAATGGCCAGTACTGTTCATCTGAAAAAGGAACAAGGGAAAAATAGCTTGACAAGGGTTGAAATGATATAATACTCACAAAAACAAAATAACCCTAGCAAGAAAAAATTGCGGTGCATTGTTTCCAGATTACTGCATAAAGAATTCGTGAGATCAAGGAACCAGAAAAGCACATCCTGTATGACCAAGTCAAGGATGAAGTGCAGAAGACTTCATCGTCTCCAGCAGATTTGACACTATTTCATATCCATATTTCAACTATGCGACTAGTTATTATCTATCCTCCAATATAGTAATTTCTCAAGTAATATAGATAGATTAAAAATAAAGTTGCTTGCTTTTTTTCTGGAAAATACAGACTATTTCGGTTTGACTAATTCAGGCCATTTGGCATCACAAACCAAATGTAGTCAAACATGTAACATGAAGAAAAAACAAAACTAAATTACACCTATGCTACAGTTAATACGAACTTAAAGATATGCACAAATTGAAAGGTTGGCAGAATGGAACAGTAGCACCAAAGAAATAATAGCTAAGATGGGTATGGGCACCACATTTTATTGTATAAGTATGATCATGTTCATCATCATCAGTTCAAATATATATCTCGGATTACAACATCAGGGTATTTAATATAGATTAGCTGAAGGTAGCAAATTGTATCAATAGTTCTTTTCATAAATCATAATAGATAGAATCAAATACAAGTATTGTCATCAACTCATCATTGTCAAATTAAAGATACAATATATCTCTTTGAACTTCCACTTGAAACAATATTTTCTTCTCAAATAAACCACTAGTTTTACTAGAGTTCAGCCAAAATGCTCAAGGTATTTATTGAACATTATTGGGAGTTTATCTACAAAGTCCCAACATTTAGACTTATACTGTATTTGAATAGTTGATGTATTTGTTTGGTGGATCTAGGAACAAAAAAAAAAAAAAAACAAAATCGACCTCATAAGCTAAATTTATGCACTTGGATTTGCTTAGTCCTTAAACAGTCCAATGATATCATTAAATAAAACCATTTTGTTACTGTAATAACTGTCAGCATAAGCAATGCTCTCACCAATGCCCTTTGGTCTCAATACTCTAATATAGATGAATATACCAAATTAAAGAAAAATAAAGGGTTCTTGCTGGTGTATAGATTATAAAACGATTCTGTTAGCATTATATTCTTATGACCAGGAATATATTTACATGATGGAAGCAAAGAAGATTCTAGTCACATGTAACAAGCTCAATCCACGACACCGGAGCATGAAAGGAACAAAGTTATCAAGAGTAGATCGTTTTGAATTAAACAAAAAGGGCACAATGACGTATACTTTTATTCAAGCGTTATCTTTCATCTAAATGGATTAAAAGAGAAAACCGTAGCGACAGGTACTTCTCTCAAATGGAAGAGGATCCTCTGACTTACTTCCCTTTGACTTTGAGTCACAGACATGTGGGCCCGTTGGTTAGAGGGTACACATTTCAGTGACTGGCGTCGAAGGGAAGTAAGTTAGAGGATCTCAATTCAGAAGGACATCACTTTACCACAAGTTGAACTGGAATTGACATTGTGAATCATTTCAGATGTACAGTAGCTTGTGTGACACATGGAACGACAATACAATGAAACAAAGGACAAGTGAAACAGGAAATCTTGTGAAACCTAACAGAATATGCAGCCAAATTAAAGCAAAGCAAATGTTTCACCTAACTATCTTTTTTGTATGTATAGATGGCTGAAAAATACCTGCAAGTTCGTCCATCTGCTATTCTATTGAGGCAAAGCATCCTCTACTTCCTTCCACCCTTCAGCCTTATCTGGGAATTTTTCCTTCATCTTCTCAATGATACCTTTTGCCTCATCGACCCTTGAGCTTCCAGCAAGCCCATTCACAAGCATCTTCATGGTCGAAAAACACGGCACCCAATTCCTGGCTGCTATCTCATTGTACACCCCAACGGCAGTATCAAAATCACCACCCTTACAAAGGTAATAAATAAGCATATAATAGAAGCTACTATCCCCAACAAGCCCTTTCTTTGCCATCTCCTTGTATAGCCGCTTAGCTTCCTCCAAATCCCCCTCCTTGCAGAATCCATGAATCAAATGATTATAAGTGAGCCAGCTCGGCTTTGTCCCTTTCTTCACCATCTCATTCAGCAATGCCTTTGCGTCGCCACTCCGACCAAGTTTGCACAGCCCCTGGACCCTAACATTGAACACTGGCAGCGACTCACCACAACCGTGCTTCTTCATGAGCTCAATCACCTTCCCTACATCATCAAACCGCTCCTCCTTGTAAAAACCAGCAATCGCCGTAGTAAACGTAGTGGCGTTGGGCTTCACACCCTTCTGGCACATTTCATCGAGCACCGAGTAGAAGGACCTTGTGGTGCCGGACTCGGCGAAGGACTTGATAATGGCGTTGAAGGTGTCAGTGTTGGGCTTGACGGAGTACGCATCGGGGAAGGTCTGGAAGACGCGGGCAGCCTCGGCGTGGTTGCCGGAGACGAGGCAGGCGAAGAGGAGGGCGTTGAGGGAGCGGGTCGACGGGGAGGACTTGAAGGTGGAGACGGCGTCGGGGAGGAGGCCGGCCTGGCCGAAGAGCGCGATGGCGTGGGGGGCGTGGTGGGGAGTGAGGAGGGAGGAGGCGAGGTCGCGAACGGAGTCCGGGGCGGAAGAGAGCTTCGAGGCGGCGAGGGAGAGGGCCACGCGGTCGAGGTGGGAGTCCGGGGAGAGCGCCGCGGCGCGGCAGATGGAGAGGATCTGGTCGGGGGGCGGCGGCGGGGTGGACTTGAGGAGGGAGATGGCGAGGCGGCTCTTCTGCCGCGATGTGAGCGGGGTGGATGGGGAGGACGGGTTAAGGATGGATCCCGGGGTGGGCGGCGGAGCGGTGGCCGTGGAGAGGCCGCGGCGCAGGAGGCGGCGGACGGCGGCGGCCATGGCGGTGTCGGGTTTAGGGTTTTGCCGTTTAGGACGGAGTGGGGAATGGGGAACACTACTGGGATCGAAATGGAACGGAAAACCCTTCGTCTCTCTGCGTATGACCCCATTGTCAGCCTCTGTCATCCTGTCACGTCCTCGCATTCTCAAATACTATCCTTACCATTAACTTTAAATATTTTGTCATCGCGACCTATCAAGTTATTTATGTTTTACTCCCTTCGTTTTTTAATAGATGACATCGTTGACTTTTTCTCACATGTTTGACCATTCGTCTTATTCAAAAATTTTATGCAAATGTATAAGATATAAATCACACTTAAAGTACTATGAGTGATAAAACAACTCATCACAAAATAAATTATAATTACATAAATTTTTTGAATAAGACAAATGGTCAAACATGTGAGAAAAAGTCAACGACGTCATCTATTAAAAAACGGAGGTAGTATTACTTTTGACTGACAATTCAGCGAAACAACAAGGAAATAACCTTTATTACCCCTGTCATTCATCTTCTTTATACCTTCTTTCTCTGCGATATGACATGAAACCAGTCTCTAGCATGGGCCAAGTAGTAGGAATGGCTAGTGTCAGGATGAACTGGGCAGCTAAACGGGCGAGATATACGACGCAACAATGCTTGATGGTTCGTCGGATGGGTCGTTGGGGTGAAAGCAATACATCTTGGTTGCAGGCTCTCTATCTCGTATAGATCCTGTGAACTTGAGAGAAGCGACGCAAACGGAGGTGTGGCGGGGGAGGCGTTGGAGCCGGCATGGGTCAAGTTGTATGCTCCCTCACCAACACAGGTATCTCGCTCATGGTCAGGGTGGACTCGGCGTATCTTCGCTCATCGATGACCTCACTACCAAATCCCGAAGGCTCACGCCATACATCCAATTGCAACAGTACCTGTGATTCCCACGTCAGAGAGGAAGAAGAGCGGAGAGAAAGAGAGAGAAGAAAGATGGGAGGGGAGTGAGGTTTTTTTTTCTTTTAGTGTAAAGTGGTAAAATATAAACAATTTGGTAATCACGATGATAAATAATCAAAATTATTAGGAAAGACGGTATTTAAGAAGGTACTATTGAAGAGAATAACAAATAGTCCAAAATCCCTCTATCGTGGCACCCTACAAGTACCTTTGTGCTCCTACTTTTAAAAAAAAACAAAAAAAACAAGGGACTCCTACCATTGCGAATGGAATCACCAGTAAACCTATGAGAACAAGAGAACAAATGAGAACGTGGGGACATTAGGGTTCTAAAAATCGAACATAACTATCGTTGGAATTTTTTTTTTACTTTCTAGAAGTCACACCAATCATCGGCGGCTCTGCCATTGTACTCATGTACGACCCGCCCGCTGCCTCTCATTTTTATTATCATTGCGATTTTAAAAATCAAATATGATTATCATTGGGGTTTATTTTAATTTCATGAATGGTGAGATGGAGAAAAGAAGAGTGAAAGAGAGAGAAATTGACATTCCTCATGAAAGGGATAATCCCTACACAAACTTCAATAAAAATATGAGAGTGTTATAGAGTGTTAGAGTTATTAGAGATTATAAATTAGAGACAATTAGAACAAGTTTAATAGTATAGCTAACTAATATGTATAATAAATTAACTATAAGGTTGACTATATTTCTCCTTCATCTTTCTCTCTATAAATTTAGTGAAAATGTCTTGTAATATTTGCATGAGAACCAATATTTTTCATTTTTATTTATCTCTCTTCCATATAAATTTATAGTTGACTTACTATTATCCTCACTCTTACATATAAGCTCTTAATCTATTATTATATGATATGCATAAAATTAGTGACAGCTGATAACAAATCTTCAACGTGCACACCGACGAATCCCAGCTACTCCCCCATGCGGAGCATTTTCCGAGGGATATATGCGTGCGCTCCCTGCTACGGGCTACGCTGTGATCCCCGTCTTCAATTTCTCGTTCGCTCTCACGTGCGCGTCGCATCTCCCTACAACGCGCTGTCGCGCATGCATTCGCTCACGTGCGCTCGCGTGGCACGGTGGCACAGACGTGCGCTCGCCTTATATATACCGTACCATGGCAAATCGTGATTTGCAAGAGAGCTATACCGATCACCATCGCGCTCGGTTGACCCAAGCGCGCGGCCATGGCATCACTCTCCCAGCTAATCACCTGCTCTCTATCATCACCGAGCCCCTCCTCTCCAGGAGCGAGCTTTTGCCTTAAGCCTCGCCGCGGCGCCGTCGGACGGGTCTCGTGCACATCGTCTCCCGCGGAGCCCGACGCCTCTAGGCTCGACCGCCGGGACGTCCTCCTCGGTCTCGGCGCGGCCGGTGCAAGCGCCACGGCGGCGGGCATCCTCCTGTCGTTCCCGCGCCGCGCCGGCGCCGACCCTGTCGCGACGCCCGACATCTCCTCCTGCGGCCCGCCCGACCAGCTCCCTCCGTCCGCCAACGTGCTGACGTGCTGCCCGCCGCCCTCCAGCGCCTCGCCGGTGGACTTCGCCCCGCCCGCCGACGCGTCGTCCTCGCCGCTCCGCACGCGCCCCGCCGCGCACTCCGCCGGCGCGGACTACGTCGCCAAGTTCAACCGCGCGATCGCGGCCATGAAGGCGCTGCCGGCGGACGACCCCCGGAGCTTCGCGGCGCAGGCGAGCGTCCACTGCGCCTACTGCGACGGGTCGTACAGCCCCGACGGGTTCCCGGGGCTGGATCTCCAGGTGCACAACTCCTGGCTGTTCATGCCGTTCCATAGGTGCTATCTCTACTTCTTCGAGCGGATCCTGGGGAGCTTGATCGGTGATCCCACCTTCGCCATACCGTTCTGGAACTGGGATGCACCGGACGGGATGAGAATGCCGGCGATGTACACCGACCAGTCCTCACCGTTGTTCGATCCCCGGCGGAACGGGCGGCACGTGCCGCCGAAGCTGATCGATCTGGACTACAATGGGAGGGAGCCACGGTTCACCGACAACCAACAGGTTGATCACAACCTACGTGTCATGTACCGCCAGGTATATGTGTGTGCAATGCGTGCATCGATGCAGCGCGTCTCTACGAAATTGTCAGGTGCCTACCTGACATGGCTGTTCCAGCTGAAGAGGAGGAGAAGGAAGGAGAACCTGAAGCTGATGAAGAACCTACTGATGATCAAGACTCTGAGGGCATAAGGCGCCAAGATGAGGAGGAGGACATTCAGACCAATACTCAAGTGCCAGTTAGGCCATCAAGAACGATGAAGCCCAACCCCCGTTACCATGGGCCTGAATGGGCTGTGTAATCCAGTTGGCACTGTACAGCTGGCTGTTGCGTGTGTGATGCGAATTCGAGAGAGAGAGAGAGTGGGTAATGTACCTGATACTTGTATAAAACAGGGGAACCCAAGATGAAATGGTATGAACTGGCAACTAGGCGGCGAAGGCGGCGGAAGGCTTAATCCTGTCGGATTAGAGCAATAGACTACCAATTAGTTGTCAAATCCCTATCATTGCGTGTGTGTTCTTGTTCTTGCTCTTTGGATCCTAACAATCTGGTATCAGAGCCTCTCTTGTTCTCTCAATCCTCTTGATTCTGCGGTAAAATTCCTTGGGGCGGATTGGAGTTGATCTTTGGATCGACACCGCGAAAAGGAAACTTGCCACCCCAGGTTTGCGGAATTCGGAGTGAGAACGAATTGGTTCCGATTCCCAAGTAGTAAACCATGGATACTGATAAGAAGCTGGATCTCCTGCTGCAACTC